CAGCCTCCACACTGAACAAATGCCCTTTGAGCATCTACTCTGGGTAGGGTGACGGGGTGACAAAGGTGAGAAAAGTTCACAGGGTCCCTGACCTCCTGGGAGCTTAGACTCTGGTGAAAAGGAGATGTCATAATGAATACATAATCAAGTCATAATGAAATACATAATTGCCAACTGCAAGAACTGCTACAAAGGGAAGACAGAGTGTGTTCAGAGAGCAAACTGGGGATCCAGTCTGGCCAGGAAGGTCTTGGTCCCAGGAGTGAAGGGTGAAGGATAAACTGTAGGGTGGTGACAATGTGACCTGCACATGCTATGGGTCTGGGGTCGGGTCTCCGGAGCAGAAGAAAGGCCTGAGCGGTGATGCCCAGCCAGGGGAGAGGGAAGATACAGTTTGATGAGAGCCCAGGCAGCCTCCACCCCTGGGAATCCACACGAGGGCCTGAAAGGTCATGATCCGGGCCCTCCGAGGGATGGGAAGCCACAAAGCTCTGCCACTGAAATGTGCAGCTCAAGTCCCACTGCGGCCACTCTTCACATACCATCTCTGGACCCCCAACCAGGAAGACGAGCAGCAGTGTTTCCGTGATTGGGTGATCTATCAATAGAAACTGTAAACACATTCATACAGATACACACACACATATGCACACATATACACATCCATACACATACACGTACACATATAACATATACACACATGTATACATACTTATGCATACACCCATATACACACATTTATACATATACACATGCACGTACACACATATGTGTGCACACCTATACATACATATACACACATATACATGGGCTTCCCAGGTGGTGCTAGTGGTAAAAAACTGCCTGCCAATACAGGAGACATAAGAGACATGGGTTTGGTCACTGGGCCGGGAAAATCCCCTGGAGGAGGGCATGGGAACCCACTCCAGTATTTTGCCTGGAGAATCCCATGGACAGAGAAGTCTGGCGAGCTACCGTCCATAAGGTTGCAGAGTCAGACACAACTAAAGCAAATTAGCATGCATGCACACACACATAAATACATACACACATACTCATATAAACACACACACATATACATATTTATGCACATAGATATACACATACGTATACACAGACACATACACACATATACATGCACACTACATACACATATACCACACTACACATATATATATTAATCACACATATACATACACACATGTATGTATGCATGTGTGTACATGTACACATATATATATTATCTGCCTTTACCATCTTGGGAAATATATACAATCACTCCTAAGTCATCATCCCTTTGGATCCTGTTTTTTTCCGAAGACAACCACAACAGCACCTCCCACCACACATGCCCACCTTTCTATATGTCCTGATACTCCTCCGCTGAGTAAGTGGTTGCATCTATGTCCCCTCTCTGTGACCGCGGGTTGACATCTGTCACTTCCCTCATCAATGGAAAACAGCGGTAATGGTACACACACCTGAGGCTGACACATAAAAAGGCCAGGCACATCCACCTTGTTCTCCTGGACCCCAGCTGCCATGTTCTGGGGAAGCTCAAACAAAGGCACGTGGAGAGGCCACATGTAGATGTCCTGGGTGACAGCCCAGCTGAGGGCCCAGCTAACAACTGGCATCAGCACCACACTTGGGAGTGATGCTGCCTCCAGACGACTTAGGCCCAGCTGTCAAGTCACCCAGTCCTTGAATGTCTCCACCTGAGACCCCGACATAGCCGAACAGAAGTCAGCCCTCCCCACCAGGCCCTGCCCAAGTCCCGACCACAAAGGATCCCTGAGTAAGAACATAAAGGAGTCCTTTCACACCACTATTTTGGAGCAATCTCTTATGCAGCAAAAGTAACCGAGCCAAAGAGTAGCTCCAAGTTTATACGTATATACAATTTTCCTTAATCACCATTCACCACCCTACACATCTCAGAGAGCGGATGTCTTCAACCACTCCCTCCAAAGGACCTCTGGGTTTTGACAACACCACTTTTGGAAAAGAAGGACCAGGTTCCTGACACCAAATAAAAATTAAACACTTTTAAATCACTCAAAACATACAAAGTAATCCATTCAGACTGCAAAAAAAAAAAGAAGAAAAGAAAAAGAAAATCTGCCTTAGCAAATTGGAGCCCTTAATTCAATTGGCTGTGAAAACAACAAAATGAGATCTTCATCGGCAAGTAAATAGGGCACCTTGGGCTTTCCTCCTGCACTGACCGCTGGAGGCTCAAGGATCTGCAAAGAGTGTGCACAACTTGAATGAAGCAACGCATAGATAGGTATTTGGCCCGGGGCATGGCACTGGAGAATGTGCCAAATTCCAGTTAACATTATTACTGCTTTTGTTGTTGTGAGAATTAACATTTCCCTTTATTCCAGTGTTACTTCTTCCTGACTTAAGCCTAACAACGTTCCTGTCCCATCTGAGAGAATCTATACTGAGTTTGGTTAGGGGTTCCTAAAAGGGATCTCCAATTCCATACATCAGAAATGTTATACAAGATTATGTAATATACCTGCCACACACCTCTGTTTTGGTTTGGTAAAAGAACTGTCCTTTTTATTGAAAAAAAAAAAAGAAAGAAAAATCAACATGTGTTAGAAAACAGGCTTCTGAGAAGTTACGCTCAATCACTGCGTGGTTTTCAAGGTAACTAAATAGAAGTATCACCTTTGATCATTATGAAGGTACCACTCCCCATGTGGTTATATAAATATTACAAAGCTGCACCCAGAGAGTGGCACAGATACGGGGGGACAGAGATGGGATCAAAGAGCCAGGTCACCTCAGGTTCGTCTTTTCCTCTGTTTCTCAACTGCTGTGTGACTGTAAGTGAATCGCTTGGCCTCTCCAAGTCAGAGTGTCTTCAAAACAAGGCTACATTCCAAACTTTTTATTCATATTGAATAGACCCTCAAGCAGAGGAGCTCCTAAGTTAGTAAAAGTCACTATTCAGATGGTTAGGTATGCTGAATGGCAATCCCTTAAGCAAAATAATCACTTGCAGATTCACACATGTTAATTAGTATCCTAAAAATTATTTCAAAAAATCTGGGCCTTGAAAATCTTCCTGTGCATCATGTAATGAAATTATCAATATCTAGTGGAAAAAACAGTGATTTGAAAGAATTACAACTCGCATGCCATCCAGGGGGCTCAATGGCACACATGCCCCTCCCACTGACATGTCACTGTTATCTTAAGTTGCTGGGGTGGGGGTCTTCTCAAGCCCCACATTTATGGGAGGGGGTATAGAGGAGGTGAAAAGGCAGAAGGAGAGAGACCAATCGCGGGAAGTATGGAGGATAGGGCTGTGCACTGGACCCAAACCTGAGTCCCTAGCAGGCACACTTCTGTCCATCCCCAAATGACGTCTAGTCACCTAGCTTCAAGTCTGCAGTGTCTGACACCTGCTTCCTCCGAACATCCCAGCTTTCCCCAGGCCCAGGAAACTCCCTGCCACTGATGGACTTAACCATCTGGGTCACATTCCCCATCCAGAAAAAAATGTCTTTTGTAGCCTGGAAAGTGGTAGGAAGTCTATGCCCTGAGAGCCCCGACCTGTAAGAAGATGGCTGGCGTGTAACTGACTTGAAACGGCCCTTTCTATAGTATGGACTGGCTTTACACTTGTCAAAGCTGCGATGATGAAAAGGGGGTTAATGAAAACCCTCTTCCTGAGACAGGGCCAGGAACTGCTTCTGGCAGGTCAGACACTGCCCTTGGAGAGAGGTCCAGCCTCCCTCACTGGGCACCGTCCACTTTCCGATGTCAGTCCCCATGGCCAGACAGTCTGGCATCCTGGAGAAACGTGGAGAACCAGGAGTCTCGAGGGCTCCGCTGAGAACCTGGAAGGGCTCTCTCCTATTACCATATAAGTTGAAGTCTGCTAAGACCTGAACCAAGACCCACCAGCCACTTTCCCCACCAGGCAGGAGCACAATCCATTGGGGGAGTTTCCTTTTTTAATTGATTGCACCCTTAAGTATATTTGAGCATTACTATCCAAATGCCTTCCTTCTGCACTTCATAACCCCTTGTATTGGAGCTCCGTGGATCTTAACACCGAAGCATGTATCTGTCACTGTTTTCCCTCCCGAGCATTTCCGTAGCTGTTTTCCCACCAAGCGTGCCACTGGAGGAGCCGGGATAGAAAACCGCTTTACAAGAGCTATTCCTCCAAGCCTTTCCTCCGTTTCTCTGACAGCTGCACACCCAGGGTCCAAACTCCTTCCTGTGAACAACTGTGCTGAGCACATTTCTTCACCAGGTCTATGTCAGCTCAAGAAAGGCCGAGGGCAAAAATAAGACAGAAGTTGTGTACCGGGAAAGCGCTCCGCAGGGCACCCTGAAAGTAAGGTACAGACCATTGGCGGTCCAGTCTAATGGCTTCATCCCGCGTTGCAAGTCTGCAAAAGGGATCCGTGTTCACAGCGAGGGGCCAGTGAAGGAGAACCAGTCGAAAAATCTAGCCAGAGGACCAGCACTTTTTTCCTATCATTAGTTCCCGGGCACCTGTTCTAGAAAGAGGGGGATGGAGCTTCCGAAGAAACAGGCGGTCCATCCCGCCTGCTCGGTTCGGAGCACTGTGTCCCCGGCTCAACCAGTCCTCTCCCTGCCCTCCCTCCACAGGCCAAGGAGTTGCACAGGTGGTCACGCGCGCAGGGGCCGAAGCTCACCAGGACAACTTCATTACTGCCCACGGGGGACCTGTTTAGGAGAAGAGTCCCCACTGCTGCCTCCCTCAGTCCCTCCAGCTCGTGGCAGGAAGCGGGGCAGAGCCGGGAGGCACAGGTGACGGTTCCCAGGGCAGCCAAGGCGCCCAGCGTGCCGGCCACGGTCCTACCCCCGCCCCGCGCCCGCGCCCGCGCGCACGGTCCTCGCCTCCCGGGCCCCTCCGCCCGGGGCAGGGGGCGTCCCCGGGCCTGGACGCCCCGCGCCGCCGCCGGAGCCGCAGCGCCCACTCGGGGCAGGCGGCGAGCACTCACCGTCGTGGTCCCGCATGCTCGACAGCGACCAGAGCAGCAGCGCCACCAGGGCCAGGAAGCAGACCTGGCTCAGAAGAAGGTCCCTCCGGCAGCTCCGGCGGCGCTCACGCTCCTCCAGGTCGGGCGACGGCATCCTTTCCGCGCGGCAGGGCAGCGGTCCCGGCGGGGTCCCCGGCGGGCGGCGGCCGCTCCTATCGCGGGCGGCCGCGGCGCGGCTGGTGGCGGGAGGCAGCTCCGCGCGCGGCGGCGGCGCGTCCTCGCTGCGCTCCCGCCCGGCGGCCGCCGCCGCCGCCTCTCCTTCCTCCTGGCGGCCGCTGCGGTTCTCCCGATCTCCGTCCTCGTCGTCGCTCAGTCCCTCCTCCTCCTCCTCCTCCTCCTCCTCGTCGCTGCCGGCCCGCGCCGCCGCCTCCCGGCGCTCGGGGTCCCCGTCCTCCTCGCGCGCCATGGCTCCCACGCTCGGCGTCCGCGCTCGGCCTCGGGCGGCGGCGCGGCGGGGGCGGCAGGGGCGGCCGGGAGGCGGGGGCGGCGGCGGCCGAGGAGGAGGAGCGGGGAGGACCGGCGGGAGGAGGGCCCGCCGCGGGCCAACTCGGCCGGCGGGCGAGGCCACCCGGAGCTGCTCCGGCCTCGCCGGCGGCGGGAGCGCGTCGCGGGGCCGCCCGCCTACTCCATGGTCCGCGCGCAGGGCCGGGGCCGAGCCGGGGCCGAGGCCGGGCCGAGCGCGCCGGGAGCTCGGGGCGAGGCGGGAGGCGGCAGCCGGCGGCGGCGCTGGGGCTCGGGCTCGGGCGCGGGCTGGGGGCAGCGGCGGGGACGCAGCGGCGCTGGCCAGCCCGGCGGAGAGGGGGCGCGTGGGGAGGAGACTGAGTCGGGGAGGGAGCCCCGCGCGCTGTCCTGCGCTCGTGCCGGCGCGGGAGGGCCCCCTCTCGGGACACACGCGCCGCCGAAAGGCTGATCTCCGGGGGGAAAGGGGTTCGCCCGAAACTTTTTGAGGAGCCTAGGGTCTCTCCCGCCCCCTCCCCGCCCTGTGCCCGAAGAGGGGTGCCGCAAGTGCGCTTGGCTGAGCGCGCTGGGCCGCCGGGCTAGCTTCCTCCCGCGGGCCTCCTGGGTTTCCCTCCGCCCCCTTGTGGGGATCCCCGTGCGCGCCCGCCTCGGGACCTGAAACAGGACTCCCCGAGGCTCTTTGGCTCGCTGGGGGTATCCTGGCTCCCCCCCTCTGGCTCGGGCTCACACTTCACTCGGGATAGTCCTATACCAAGCCTCCAGGGCTGTGGCCGAGGGAAGAGGGTCAGGGCGGCGCGAGAGTCCCCGGCCAACCCCGGGACGAGGCTCCTGGCCTTCCTGTTGCCGAGAACAGTCAGCCTGCTCCCAATCCTGAGGTCAGAGCCCTAGTCCTCGCTCTCCCCAGGGCTCCACTTGTGCTCCAGCCCTCACCTGCAGCCTTGCAGAAGATGCCCTTTAGAGAGGACACTTGATGGTCTCTGATACACCCACCCTCCCTCCTGGGGTTTCCAGCTTCCCCGGTGCCTGGGGCCTCCCTTGGGCTGAGGCTAGGGTGGCGGATCTAGACCCAGAAAGAGATGCCTTTATGGTGGGGCTGAAAACAAGTGAAGTGAGGTGAAACTCGCTCAGTCGTGTCCGACTCTTTGCGACTCTGTGGACAATGCAGCGCATGGAATTCTGGCCAGTATACTGGAGTGGGTAGCCTTTCCCTTCTCCAGGGGATCTTCCCAACCCAGGGATCTAGCCCAGGTCTCCCGCATTGCAGACGGATTCTTTACCAGCTGAGTCACAAGGGAAAACGGAAGAGCTTTGTTCAAAAAAGGATCACTGGAACCCAGGTGTTGGTCTGGGTGACTGTCTCCACAGAGTCCGGTCTTATCAGGGAATCCAGCTGCAGACGTCTATGGAGGTGAGGAGGAAGGAGAGACCTATGTATGGGTTTCTCCACCCCTAGGTCTGGGAGGACCCACAGAGTCCAAGGGTGACCCCATCTATGGGTGACCTCCTAGCCCAGGCTCCGCAGATGACCCCTCCCCACAGCATCAGGGAACAGCGGGTCATGGCCAAGGACAAAACAGACCTTCCTAGGTGGCTTTCTCACCACAGAGAGGTTATCTCACCCAGCATGCCTGAGAGCTCTTTCTTCCTGGGTGTATCATTCTTTTAGTCCTTTCTCAGCCTGGCATCTCCTCAGAAGCACCTCTCCTACCCTGCCCTTGTTGACCCTTCTGCTCCCATTGGTTACCAGGTACCAACCCTGGTAGGAGGATTTAAACCCTGGAAGTCCCTGGGGAAGGGGAGGCACTCCAGTCTCCTCACCTCGATCAACATTCAGAAGAAAGTTTAGGAGCTCAGAAGGCTGTCCTTTATTCAACTAACCGGGGAAAGACACTCACTTTTTCTCATGTAAATAGGAAAAATAAAAGTGAGAGAGGGAATCTGGAACTAATTGGGTTAGGGAATGAGCCACAGGCACAAGGAATTGTGTAATATGGGGGTGGGAGAGGTGTCAGGAAGAGAACAGGAGGGCGGAGGGGAGGAACCAGGAGTTGGCAATGCCCTGGAAGTGCCCTGGGCACCTGCACGGAATGAATGAGCGGAAGCCAGGTGGGGAAAGAGCGGGGAGGGAGACAGAGATGGAGAATCCTTCCTGGGCATGCTGAAGTGATTTTTTATAGTTCATCTTCATTTCAACAGAATTCATGGCAAAGTGGGTATAGCAGAGACAAAGACCCCTGAGAAGCCCACCACCCAAAGAAGAGGGATGGGTGCTTCCAGTCCCCAGCCTGACAGCACCTGCAGTCATGGGCTCCCATCCCAAGCAGGGGTGGCTCCTGGGCTGGAAGAAAGGTTCCTTCGAGGGTCAGGGAAGCCCCCTACCCGCCCCCACCTCAGCGGGCACCCTTTGGGACTGGGAGTTGGGGTGGGAGAGCAGGTTCTCACATCCTCTGCCAACCCTGGAGGAAGGAGACAGACCCCGGTGGACTCTTCCCACCTGTGTTTGTCCTACCTGCCCTCTCCCAGTCTTCAGAAGCTCCCCCCAAGAAACTGGATTTTGGAAGGAGCTGGAGCTGAGATAACTCATGTGCTATTTATCTTTCACCATCAGGATCCTCGTCAATCCTGAGGCAGCTTTTGCCTTTTATTTCTTAATCTGTTTGCATTTGATCTCATATTTGGTGCAAAGAGCCTCGGGGAGAAAATTCCAGGCCCTGATACAGTCGTCTGAGAATTCGCTTGCCTGGAAAGAGAAGCATCACCCCAGGATGTGCCAGGGCCTGCACCCTTCCAGGAGCAAGACAGGCGTGGGTATGAGGCCCCTCCACAGCCTGGCAGCCTGGGCTGGGTGCTGGTGTCAGCATCCATGCCCTCTTTTTAACCTCCGAAAAGCATTCCATGCAAAGACTTTGGACTGGATGTGAGGGCACAGAAGTGGTTCATCTTTCTCGTAGATCTGCCTCGATCACAAAGGACCACATGCACAGACATCAGCCCAGAAGCGAGGCCTGGGCCACCAGGGTCTTCTGTGCCCACTGGCCTTGCTCCCAGCCTCTAGGCTCTCCCTAGCCCACAGTGCCCACACCTGATAGACCTGTTTCCACAACAAAGCAGGGTTGTGTCTCCATAACACCAGACAGTGCCAATTGTCAGACAAGCCACTGGCGAGAGATGGAAGGAAGAGGGTGGGGGAGGAGAGGAGGAAATCAGAGGAGCCACTTGCTGGGTGAGGTGACGAGTCAGCCTCCTGGCCATGGCTGGCTCTCACCCAGGGAGGCGAGGCCTGAGCAGAGAGAGGGAAGACACTGAATGTTCACAGAACACCTTCAACACGCTAAGGCCACGTGCTGATGGATGGCGGGGAGTAGGGGAGCGACTTGTGCATGGGTGAGCTGGGACAGCCCTTGGACATGACACCTGTTCACACCAGCCTAGACACAGACTCCCAGGCCTCCTGTCTCAGGCCAGGTCTGGTCAACCGTGACCCTGGCTGACCGGACCAGTTGCGCTTCACCTCTAGACATGTCACCTGCACATCGGGCACTCAGAGGCCAACAAAACCCCAGCTCCTCCGAGGAAGGTCTGACTGTGGATCCCCTCCTCGTTCTTGTCCAACACCTTCATCAAAAGGCTGGTACACCTGTTCCTTTAGATGCTTCCTGGGCTGTCAGCATTGCAAAGAGCACAGAATCATCTCTCCTGGATGAGTGAGTCCACACTGCAGATCAGGAGGCTGTGGGAAGGCCCTGTCCACAATCTAGGACTCACAGGACTTGAAACATTCAGTTAGAAATGAACTTAAAAGAAGCTGCTTGGTTTTTTTTTTCCCCTTTTCTTAAAATTTTTATGGGAGTATCATTGATTTACCATGTTGTATTAGTTTCAGGTGTGCAGCAATCAGTTATTTTATAATTGTTTCCCATTTTTGTACTCTTTTTCAGGTCAGTGTTTGTTGGGTGCTTTTGACTCACTTCATGGATGTGACTGTAGTTTTTGTTTTTTTTCTCCTGAGGACCAGAGTCATTATCATAGGTGTCCATCATCTTTTTTTAAATTTACTGAGGATTATTTAGGTATAGTAACATGCACACGGCTTTAGCATTTAGCTCAATGACTTTACCTATTCGTGGACAACCTACTTGAGTTCCAGATCAGGACACAGAGCATTCTCTGGCCCCCTCGTGCCAACCCCTGGCTGGACAATAACCCTCTGTCAGTAACCCCTCTTCCCTGCTCTCTCTCCTGGGTTTTGGGTGCCTGTCCTTGAACTTCAAGTGAGCAGAGGCTCCTTGCTCAGCCTTGTTTCCATGGGATCTGCCCACATGGGTGTGCAGGGCTGTGATGGTTTCTTTTTGTGCTGCGTATGTGTACATTGTTTTTTACCTGATGCTTTGGCTCCCTTCCAAGTTTAGTGTAAGCCAAGAATAACCACACCACTGCCTCTGGATGTGAGACAAGTGACCTCCCAGACTGGCTCGTTTTAGAAGGAACTTCAGCTGAAACTGAAACAGTCATGGGCTGCCTCCAAACTGGTTACATGACCTAAGGGTAATTGCAGGACAGCAGATCAGCTTGGGGGTCAAGCTTTTAAAGACATGCCTAAAAGAACTGCTATGATGTGCATAAAATTTGGAGGCTGCTTTTCATGGAAAAAGCACAACCCATTACTTGTACATTCTTTCCATCCCCTTTTTCTTCTAAATGAGAGGAAAGTAGAATTAAGGTGCCATCAGAAAAGACGCCCCCCCCCCCCCGCCCCCCCCCCCTCCGAGGCAGGGCCATGGAGGGTCCTTTCAATCCAGCATTAGTGAATATAAACAGTACAAGGGATCTTGTTGGAAATGTTCACTCCCAGCCCATCCTGAGGAAAAGGATTCAGGAGGCCTGGAAATCTACATCATTCAGACATTTCCAGGGACCCATCTGTGTTAAAGTTTGAGATCTGTTCTG